AGCACTGTCTTAATTATCTCTGTGGGTACATCAAAAAGCTAGAAAGATATGAAGTTAACAACCTAACATCACAACTAAAAGAGCTAGAGAACCAAGAGCAAACAAACCCTAAAGCTAGCAGAAGACAAGAAATAGCCAAAATGATAGCTGAACTAAAGGAGATAGAGATATGAAAAACCCTTCAAAAAAATCAATGAATCCAGGAGCTGGTTTTTGGAAAAAATTAATAAAATAGATAGACTGCTAGCCAGACTAATGAAGAAAAGAGAAAAAATCAAATAAACACAATCAGAAATGATAGGGGGATATCACCACTGACCCCACAGAAATATAAAAACCATCAGAGAATACTATAAACACCTTTATGCACGTAAACTGGAAAACCTAAAAGAAATGGATAAATTCCTGGACACGTACAGCCTCCCAAGACTGAAACAGGAAGAAATTGAATTCCTGAATAGGCCAATAACAAGTTCTGAAATTGAGGCAGTAATAAATAGCCTACTAACAACAACAAAAAAGCCCAGGACCAGACAGATTCACAGCTGAATTTTACCAGAGGTACAAAGAACAGCTGGAATAGTTTCTATTGAAACTATTCCCAAAAAATTGAAAAGGAAAGACTCCTCCCTAATTCATATTAAGAGGCCAGCATCATCCTGATACCAAAATCTGCCAGAGATACAACAAAAAAAGAAAACTTCAGATAAATATCCTTGATGAACATTGATGCAAAAATCCTCTACAAAATACTGGCAAATCAAATCCAGCAGCACATCAAAAACTTATCCATCACGATCAAGTTGGCTTCATTCCCGAGATGAAAGGTTGGTTAAACATACACAAATCAATAAATGTGATTAATCATATAAACAGCACTAAAGACAAAAACCACATGATTATCTCAATAGATGTAGAAAAACCCTTTGATAAAATTCAATATCCCTTCATGTTAAAAATTCTCAATAAACTACATATTGAAGGAACATACCTCAAAATAATAACACCCACATATGACAAACCCACAGTCAATATCATACAGAATGGGCAAAAGCTGGAGGCATTTCCCTTGAAAACCAGCACAAGACAAGGATGCTCTCTCTCACCACTCCTATTCAACATAGTATTGGAAGTTCTGACCAGGACAATCAGGCAAAAGAAAGAAATAAAGGGTATTCAAATAGGAAGAAAGGTAGTCAAATTATCTTTGTTTGCAGATGAAATTCTCCTATATCTAGAAAACACCATTATCTCAGCCCAAAAGCTTCTTAAGCTGATAAGCAACTTCAGCAAAGGCTCAGGATATAAAATCAATGTGCAAATATCACTAGCATTCCTATATACCAACAACATGCAAGCTGAGAGTCAAATCATGAATGAACTTCCATTCACAATTGCTACAAAAAGAATAAAATTCCTAGGAATACAGCTAACAAGGGAAGTGAAGGACCTCTTCAAGGAGAACTAAAAACCACTACTAAAAGAAATCAGAGAGGATTTCAGTGAGGACCCAAACAAATGGAAAACATTTCATTCTCGTGGATAGGAAGAATCAATATCATGAAAATGGTCATACTGCCCAAGGTAATTTATAGATTCAATGCTATTTCCATTAAACTACCATTGACATTCTTCACAGAACTGAAAAAAACTATTTTAAAACTCATATGGAACCAAAAAAGGGGCCCAAATAGCCAAGACAATCCTAAGCAAATAAAACAAAGTTGGAGGCATCACACTACTTGATTTCTAACTATACTACAAGGTTACAGTAAATAAAACAGCATGGTACTGGTACAAGAACGGACACATAGACTAATGGAACATAATAGAGAACTCATAAATAAGACCACACACCTACAACCATCTGATCTTCAATAAATCTGACAAAAACTAGCAATGGGGAAAGGATTCCCTATTTAATAAATAGTGCTGGGAGAAATGGCTAGCCATATGCAGAGAATTGAAACTGGACCCCTTCCTTATACCATATACAAATATTAACTCGAGATGGATTAAAGACTTAAACGTAAAACCCAAAACTACAAAAACCTTAGAAGAAAATCTAGGCAATACCATACAGGACATAGGCACAGACAATTGCAACAAAAGCAAAAATTGACAAATGAGATCTAATTAAACTAACGACCTTCTATGCAGCAAACAAAACTCATCAGAGTGAACAGACAACCTACAGAATGGGATAAAATTTTTGCAATTTATCCATCTGACAAAGGTCTAATATCCAGAGCCTCCAAGAAGCTTAAACAAATTTACAAGAAAAAACAACCCCATTAAAAAGTAACCAAAGGACATGAACAGACACTTCCCAAAAGAAGACATACATGAGGCCAAAAAACATATGAAAAAAGCTCAACATCACTGATAGTTAGAGAAATGCAAATCACAACCACAATGAGATACCATCTCAAGCCAGTCAGAATGGCTATATTAAAAAGTCAAAAAACAACAGATGCTGGCAAGGTTGCAGAGAAAAAGAAATGCTTTTACACTGTTGGTGGGAGTGTAAATCAGCAACCACTGTGGAAGACTGTGACGATTCCTCAAAGACCTAGAACCAGAAATATCATTTGACTGAGGAATCTCATTACTGGCTATATACCCAAAGGAATATAAATCATTCTGTTACAAGGATACATGCACGCGTATGTTCACTGCAACACTATTCACAATAGCAAAGATATGGAATCAACTGAAATGCCCATCAATGATAGACTAGATTAAGAAAATGTGGTACATATACACCATGGAATACTATGCAGCCATAAAAAGGAACAAGATCATGTCCTTTTCAGGCACATGGATGGAGCTAGAAGCCACTATTCTCAGCAAACTAATGCAGGAACAGAAAACCAAACACCGTGTGTTCTCACTGGGAGCTGAATGATGAGAACACATGGACACATGTCAGGGAACAACACACACAGGGGCCTGTTGGGGGCAGGGAGGAAGAGCATAAGGAAGAATAGCTAGTGGCTGCCAGGCTTAATACCTAGGTGATGGGATGATCTATACAGCAAACCACCATGGCACATGTTTATCTATGTAACAAACCTTCACATCCTGCACATGTGCCCCTGAGCTTAAAATAAAAGTTGAAGAAAGAAAATTATCATCGTGGGTAACTATTAGAAGTGAAATTACGCCGGGCGCGGTGGCTCAAGCCTGTAATCCCAGCACTTTGGGAGGCCGAGACAGGCGGATCACAAGGTCAGGAGATCGAGACCATCCTGGCTAACACGGTGAAACCCTGTCTCTACTAAAAAATACAAAAAACTAGCCGGGCGAGGTGGCGGGCGCCTGTAGTCCCAGCTACTCGAGAGGCTGAGGCAGGAGAATGGTGTAAACCCGGGAGGCGGAGCTTACAGTGAGCCGAGATCCAGCCACTGCACTCCAGCCTGGGCGACAGAGCAAGACTCCGTCTCAAAAAAAAAAAAAAAAAAAAAAGTGAAATTACTGACACAAAAGATCAAATATTAATTTTTTTTTTGAGATGAAATCTCACTCTCTCCCCCAGGCTGGAGTGCAATGGCATGATCTCGACTCACTGCAACCTCTGCCTCCCGGGTTCAAGCAATTCTCCTGCCTCAGCCTATGAAATAGCTGGGATTATAGGCACCCGCCACCACGCCCAGCTAGTTTTGGTATTTTTAGTAGAGAGGGGGTTTCACCATTCTGGTCAGGCTGGTTTTGAACTCCTGACCTCAGGTGATCCACCCGCCTCAGCCTCCTAAAGCACTGGGATTACAGGTGTGAGCCACCGTGCCTGGCCAATATTTTTATTTTTAAATAATTTACAAAGTTGATCTTCAGAAAAATTTCACCAATATATTCAATAAGAGCAGGGGAGGGTGCATGTGTCCCCAGTCCTTCAACAAATCTGTTAAAAATTTTCATGTAATCTAATCTATCAGCATTTGTCTCTTTGTTATATAGTCACACTGCATATCGATTGGCCAACGACAACAGACAGCATAGAATACGACAGGCTATAGTATACAGCCTAGGAGTGTAGTAGGCTATACCATATAGGTTTGTATAACCACACTCTACGATGTTCGCACCACCACGAAATTGCCTGATGCATTTCTCAGAACATATCCCCATTATTAAGTGGCACGTGACTATATTTAAACGCCTTCCACACCAAAAGCTTATGTGGAGATAAACGGAGACTACCCATAAGAGAACAAACAAGTGCTACTTATTCACAGCTTTTTTATAGCAAGGAAGTCAAGCCACCATCATTTGAATCTGGCAGAGATTCAAAGACAGGCAGGGGAGTGGGAAAGCTTTATAGCGGAAAACAAAAACACAAAGACTTCAAGTATGCTCTGATTGGATGTTGTTGACGTGAGGAAGCTAGAGGCAGGCCAACTAGAGGCAAGCATCCTATGTGATTGAGTATGGGTTCATATTTGGGTTTTTCTTGTTTGTCATCAGGTCAAAAAAATTAAAAAGGCCAGAAAGGCTAGCAAATTGATTAAAGTCCTGAACATTTCTGCAGATGCTATACTTTGGCTTCTTGAGCTGCTTGCAGCAACGGTTGTGGGTCTCAGTTCTATTTTCGTATGTGGTCTGGTCATTGTCTCTGTATATTCAGTTTCTCACTTAAGATAAATTAATCGTTTTTATTTTGCTTCAAATATAACTTTTTTTATTCATTTGAAAATTTATGTTTGTACATGTCAGGAAAAAGGGACAATTTCATTTATTTTGGAAAATTTTTATTAAGTTTTTTCTAAAGTCGATATTCTATTCTTTATACAGTACTTGAGTTCACATTTATACGATTTTATCGGGTGGGTCTACGTTATTTCTGTGGAATTTAAGAGCAACATTATCAAGACTCCTCCTCTGGACCGCCCAACTCATTAAAAAAAAAAAAACAACTTTGCGATTTTCATTAAAATTCCTTCTTTGATTAATTTCTTAACAAGAAGAAAAGGACAAAAGGGTCCAGGGAGGTGAGAGGGTACCTGCTGGAGAGAGGTGGTGGGTAGCTGGAAGCGGCTGGCTAGGAGGCGGGGCGTGGGGCGTGCGGCGGTGGAACTCCTGTGCTGCGGCATTCACGTGATCTGCCTGGGCGCAGATGTGGGCACCGGTCCGAGTGCCCGCCCTCTGTCCCCGCGGCTGGGTCCCGTCTGCTCCAGTTCCTGGGCTCCTAATTCTTGGTCCAGCTTCCTCCAGGTCAGTGTGCGGGCCTTCCACGCTGCCAGCGGAATGCTGGAATGGCGGAAGGGGAACGGGTACAGTACCGGGAAAGGCTGGGGGTGGGGTCGGGTCGAGTCGAGGGAAGCTGGCCCGAGTGTGGACAGAGATGGCGGTGGGAAAACGGCTAAAGGTGGCTGAGGGGGAGCACGTAGGCAGTGGGCAGAGGGTGAGGAAGGCGAGCACCTCCAAGTATCCAAGCTCGCTTTCCAGGCACATCCTCTTTTCTGCCCTCCGTCCATTTTGGAGCCGGAGATGGTGGGCTGGGGACGCCCCAGTAGTGAGACAGTGGAAGTAAACCCCCTCTGCCGTTCCCGTACATAGAGAAAAACGTTGACCGCGAGGCTGGGGAGGAGAGTTGCCTCTGAGGAAGAAGGACATAGAGACCCAAAATTAGTTTGGAAAGCATCCTGGTTTGGTGCCCGAGGCCTGGAAAGAAATGGCGGCTGGGGTGCGGGGGAGGTAGGGGAGGAAAACGTTGGATGAGAAGGGCCTGGACTCAGGAAAGGGAACCGAGTCCCTGTGAGCCCGCTGAGCGCGCAGCCCCTACCCCTGTCTCCTGTCTGTCCGCAGGTCTGCGCGTCTGTTGTTCCCAGCGCTCTGCGAAGCCTGAAAAAGAGGAGCAACCTGTCCAGAATCCCCGCAGGTCCGTGAAAGTAGGGGGCTGCATGGACAGGGGCCCACAAGGGTTGAGTGTGTGGAGGGCCCGGCCAGAGCCGAATTGGGGCCCCCGCCCATCCCCCCACCCACATTAACACACACCTTACCAGGCTGAACCACTGCAGAGAAAGTGACAGGGCTTGCCAGGCAATGGCTGGCTCACGTGTGTGGGAGGAGTGGCAGGCTACGTGGTGGGCAGAAGGCCCTCTTGGAGGCCCCGCCAGCTCAGGGGAACCCTCATCAGGGGTGAGATGCAAGTACTATCCAGACCTGCATTTCATCCCACGCACTCAGTCTCCCATGTCTCCTCTTTGTCTCCTCTTCCCTCCACCCCCATCCCCCAGGGCACGAAAAGGAGGGGAAATCTCGACATGGAAAAACTCTACAATGAAAATGAAGGCATGGCTTCAAACCAAGGAAAGATGAAAAATGAAGAACAGCCACAGGACGAGAGAAAGCCAGAAGTAGCTTGTACTCTGGAAGACAAGAAGTTGGAAAACGAGGGAAAGACAGAAAACAAGGGCAAAACAGGAGATGAGGAAATGTTAAAGGATAAAGGAAAGCCGGAGAGTGAGGGAAAGGCAAAAGAAGAAGGAAAGTCAGAGAGGGAGGGAGAGTCAGAGATGGAGGGAGGATCAGAGAGAGAGGGAAAACCAGGGATAGAGGGAAAGCCAGAGAGTCAAGGAGAGCCAGGGAGTGAAACAAGGGCTGCAGGAAAGCGCCCAGCTGAGGGTGATGTACCCAGGAAAGCCAAAAGAAAAACTAATAAGGGGCTGGCTCATTACCTCAAGGAGTATAAAGAGGCCATACACGATATGAATTTCAGCAATGAGGACATGATAAGAGAATTTGACAATATGGCTAAGGTGCAGGATGAGAAGAGAAAAAGCAAACAGAAATTGGGGGCGTTTTTGTGGATGCAAAGAAATTTACAGGACCCCTTCTACCCTAGAGGCCCAAGGGAATTCAGGGGTGGCTGCAGGGCCCCACGAAGGGACATTGAAGACATTCCTTATGTGTAGTGTCCCTGGCAGGCATTTACCAGGCCATGTGCTTTACCCCTACGGTAGTACTTTACTTTAGGCATCCCTCCTGTTACTAGCAGCCTTTTGACCCAACTGCAACGCGGTGTTCTTAGTAGCAAATTTTCCTCCGTTACATGGAAAGAATGTTGATGGTGCATTGTAAAATTAAAAAACACAACTTGCAGAACCAAACATATGGCATCAGTACATTTTTGTAAAACTACAAAGATACCTAGTAATTTATGTATAGAAAACAATTCTGAAAGCTGTGTCAACTAAAAGATTAACAGTGGTTATCTGTGCGTGATTTTTTCTGTACTTTTTTGTTCATCTGTCCATTTTTCTCCTAAAAACAGATTTCTTAATCATAAAAATAATAAAAGTTAAAATATTGGAAAACAGTGAATATTTGAATTTCATTCATTTGAATAAGCATTCAAATGAACTGCCCAGTGAACTTATAAAGACAGTGGATATACTTAAAATTCTTGTTGTCAGGACATAAAATGATGGGTAAAAGTTGCATTACCTCTGGGACTGGAAGCTGGAGGAGTCAACTCGATGGTTATTACAGCTCCATTGCTGTAAGGGACAGCCTTGACATCTGTGAAACGGGGATAAAATTAGCCTAGACATGTGGAGAAGATCAAATGAGGTATTGAGTGTGTGAGCTGTGTTAGGCTGGCTCCTACTCTCTCCCCTTGCACTAGCAGAACCAGTACCCAGTCAGACGCTTGGGGAGGGCTGAAGGAGGTCTCACCTGTGCCCAGAAATAAGTCCAGACAGCTGAGAGATGGGTGCCACTCTTTCTGGGTAATGCCATACTTGAAAGGTAGTATGCCCCTTTCTCATGGATCCTGCACCCTCCTAAGGCAGTAGCTGCTGCTGCTGGGCTGGAGACCATGATGGACTAAGCAACACTATGTCCCAACAGAAAAGTGGAGAATTCCGTCTCTACCTACAATAGAGTTATCCTAATTCAGGTTGTTAGTACCCAATTGTCACTTGGGCCTTGATATTTTATAAAGTTTTTACAAAACACTGCTTTCCATGTTTTTTGTTGACTTGTGTGTGTTTTTGCATATAGCCGTTTTCCACCAGATTTAGATAGTGGAGATTGAGCCAGGAGAAAAAGCTGAGTGACGAGATGCTGTGCTATTCTCATTTGTTAATCTCTAGTCTGCTGACCCTTTTTTCTTACGAATTGTCTTCCAGGAAATTTCTGTTAAGCTCTGCTTTACTATTTCAATAGACCCATCTACCTATGTGATTTTTCCCCCTGGCTCTTGAGTAGCTTTTTATTTCGTTACAGTATTTTTTTAAAATAAACTTTTAGGATGGTTTTAGATCTACAGAATTATTACAAAGAGTACAGAGTATCCCATATGCACTGTCCCCTATTATTAACATCTTACATTAGCAGGGTGGATTTGTCACAGTTAACCAATATTGATAGATATATTATTAAGTAAAGTATGTACTTTATTCAGATTTCCCCTAATGTCCTTTTTCTGTTCCAGGATCCCATTCAGGTTACATTTAGTCGTCATGTCTCCATAGGCTCCACTTAGCTGTGAGAGCTTTTCAGACTTTGCCTGTTTTTTGATGACCTTGACACTTTTGAGAAGTATTGGTCAGGTATTTTGTATAATGTCCCAAAACTTGGGTTTGCTTGTCTTGTGATTACACAGGCATTATGTGTTTTGGGAAGAAGACCACAGAGGTAAAATGCCATTCTCATCATATAAAGGGGACATACCGTCAATACATTTACCACTGTTCTTATCCTTGGTAACCTGACTGAAGTAGTGTTTGTCAGGTTTCTCCAAGGTTAAGTTTTATTTTTCACTTTCCATACTGTATTCTTTGGAATAAAGTCACTATTGGCAGCCCACACTTAAGGAGTAGGGCATTATTACCTCCTTGAAGGCAGAGTATTGACAAAAATTATTTGGAGTCCCTCTGCAGAGGATATTTGACTCTTCTTCCCCACCTATTTATATATTCAGTTTATTTGTAACAATGTAGGCTCATGACTATTTTACTTTGGATTAACGCAATACTACTTTACATGTTTTTGCTCAAATTGTTCCAGCTTTGGTCATTGGGAGCTTTCAGTTGGCTCCTGTATTCACTTGACATGCTTCCATTGTGTTGTGGAGGGTTTTTTTTAGTATTTACTTACATTCTGGCACTACAAGACGCTATAGCTTTATCTTTCATATTGCCCAAGTCCTAGAATCAGTCATTTCTCCAAGTAGCCCTGGTATCTTATGTTGGAGAATGGTGTTAGAAAAACAAGACCTGGGTGCTAGACACACTCATTGCTGCTGAAATAAAATTGCTTCTAGGCCCTCTCAGTTGACATAGCAAAAAGATATATGTGTATATAATACCCATACATATATAAAGTATTTATGGAAATATAAATATTTCTGTATATAACCATCTGTATTTATATAAGGCTAAACATGAATTTATACTAGTGTCTCCAACTACAGTCTATTACTGCATGGATCATTCTAGCCTCCCCTTGCTTATTTGTAACCTTCTACTCCAACTGTGAGAAACCTGTCTCCTACCATCTGCCATCCATTTTATTGTTTATTAATTATATAAATATATAGTGGTTTCAAAACTGTAAACCTGTAACCCTGTGGAAAACAACTTTATCAACTGGAGTAGAGTGCCATGTACAGTTCCTTTTGCCTTTAGTCTTACAGACTCCACTCATTTCCAAATTTACCTATGTCAGTACCTTATTCCCCCATCCCTTTCAGTGAGGTTGTTTCACACATTTGTGATACATTAAAATTCTTCTGTCACATTCTGCATTTGGTGACTGCTATTATAAATGGCACTTTTACATTTCGAGTGCTAATTGTTCATTGCTAGTATATAGGAAAGCAACTGACTTTTGTATATTAATCTTGTATGCTGGGACTTTGCACCAGGCATTTGTCAGTTATTTGGCAGCCATGTCAACTGCAGATAAAGACAGTTTATTTCTTCCTTTCCAATCTGTATATGTTTTATTGCCCTTAACAATTTTTATTTTGTAGAATTGGTACATTTCATCTATATTAACAAATTTGTAGGTGTGGAGTTGTTCATATTAACTTCTTAATGTCCATGGGATCAATAATGGTAACTCCACCTTCATTTCTTTTTTAAAATTTTTTTGTAGAGCTATGTTGCCCAGGCTGGTCTCAAACACCTGAGCCAAAGTGATCCTCCAGCCTCAGCCTCCCAAAGTGCTGAGATGAAAGGTGTGAGCCACAACACCTGGCCTCATTTCTGATATTGTTAATTTGTCTTCTTTCTTTGTTCTTAGTTAGCTTGGCAAGTAATCTGTCAATTTTATTTACCCTTTTTAAAGAACCAGCTTTGGTTTAATTGATTTCCTCTGTTGTTTTTCTGTTTTCTGTTTTCAAATAAGTTGAAAATTTATTTCTTCTCTAATTTTTATTATATCTTTTGTTTGCTCTAGGCTTAAGTTACTCCTCTTTCTCTAGTTTCCTAATGTGAAAGATTAGATTATGGATTATAGATTTTCCTTTCTCATATATGCGTTTAAGCTAGAAATTTTCCCCTAAGCACTGCTTTGGGGAATCCCACAAATTTGATATGTTGTATTTCATTTATTTCAAAATATTTTTACATTTCTCTTGAGGATTCTTCTTTGAATTGTGTTATTTAGAAGTATGTTTAATTTCCAGATATTTGAGTTTTCCATCTACCTTTCTGTTATTGATTTCTAGTTTAATTTTATTGAGAGCATACTTGTGATTTCCATCATTTGCTATATCATATTTTCCCACAAATTTGATATGTTATATTTTCATTTAGTTCAAAATATTTTTTCAAAGTAATTAAATGTTTATTAATAACAACTAGGTACAGATGAATCTATACTGAATCATAGCTTCCCTGTGGATTTCTTTTATGATTCTACAAAAAGAACATTTATACACTACAGCAAATTCTCCATTTCTCTCCTTTACACCTTTTTTGCACATTGTAGGTGCCTTTTCACTTCTCCAATTCTAAATTCTCCAAAAATGCCTTCCCTAATCTCCTGCTCTCATGGTTTTAACTCGCTCTATGTTTTTCTCCTCAGTATTAATAAACAGATTGGCAAATTATTTTGCTAAGTCACCCCCTTTCTCTGTTACCCATCTGGTCCTGTTTTCCACCCATAACCATCAATTTTTCATTAGCCCAAAAGAACAAATCTGCCCAGAAAGGACCATCGTTGAAGAATGGGTAAGGGGAAGAAAATAAAGTAGCAAAGTAACAAGTCTCTTTAATGGTGGAGGGTAAGGTAAAAATTTGGCAAAAATCCGTACATTAACCATATCAGTCTGAGCAAGTTGCTATAATAAAATATCATAGCCCGGATGGCATATAAACAACAGCAATGTTTTTTTCCTCACATTTCTGGAAGTCTGGAAGTCCAATATCAGGTGCCAGCATGGTTGGGTTCTTGTGAGGGTCCTCTTTCAAGTTGCAGACTGTGAGCTGCTTGCTGTTTTTTTTTTTTTTTTTTTTTTTTTTTTTTTTTTTTTTTACTACTTTAAATTCTGGGGTACATGTGCAGAACGTGCAGGTTTGTTACATAGGTATACACATTCTATGGTGGTTTGCTGCACCCATCAACCCGTCATCTATATTAGGTATTTCTCCTAATGCTATCCCTCCCTTACCCCCTTGCCCCGTGACAGGCCCCGGTGTGTGATGCTCCCCTCCCTGTGTCCATGCGTTCTCATTGATCAACTCCCACTTATGAGTGAGAACATGTAGTATTTGGTTTTCTGTTCTTGTGTTAGTTTGCTGAGAATGATGGTTTCAGGCGTCATCTATGTCCCTGCAAATGACATGAACTCATCCTTTTTTATGGGTGCATAGTATTCCATGGTGTATATGTGTCACATTTTCTTAATCCAGTCTATCATTGATGGGCATTTGGGTTGGTTCATTTCTCTTGAGAGCTCTTCTTTGAGCTGTGTTATTTAGAAGTATGTTTGATTTCCAGATATTTGTTTTCCATCTATCTTTCTGTTACTGATTTTTAGTTTAATTTTATTGAGAGCATACTTATGATTTCTCTTATTTTTAGTTTGTCATGGTATCTTTTATGAAACAGAATACGTTCTCTCTTGGTGAATTTTCTATGTGAACTTGAAAAAAAATGGTGTTCTGCTGTTGGGGTGTTCTGTAAATTAGATGAAGTGTCATTTAGCTAAAAGTTGATTAGTATGCCTTTCGGATCAACTATATCCATATTGATTTTCTGCCTGCTTAATCTATCAATTACTGACTGGCAGGAGTTATTGACATCTGCAACTCTAATAATGGATTTTTGTCTATTTCTCCTTTCATTTCTTAGTGTTTGCCTCAC